TAAAAAAAAAAAAAACAAATTTTTTTTTTTTTAAAAATTTTTTTTTTTTTTTTTTTTTTAAAAAAAAAAAAAAAAAAAAAAAATAATAATAATCATATTCACAGACATTTATATATAGACAGCTAAACAAAATAATCACTTTGATAACCAACACAAAATGAATGCTAGCCTAGCAGGCATCGGGCAATGAATGAATTGCCCGATAGAGATTCTATATTTGATTGTCATTAGCAATGCGATCTCCATCTGAATCCAATCTATCTTCTCGCTTCTTGTATGATCACAATTTGGAATGCACGTTTCAGAGAAATTTTACTTTCTATTATTATTTTATTTTTATAACCATGGCCTCAGTTTTGCTATGATTATCTCAAATTTTATTCACCTTTAATGCTAATTATTAACCTGGGTAATTTTCGGCCACATACTGAATCTCCAAAAAAAATTCCAAATGATTTCAGTGCCTTTTTTGTGCATATTTGTGTATTTGAATAGGCAATGAGTTTGTAAAGGTAATCTGTTCAAATTCATAACAAAAGTCTGAAATTGATATCGCGTATGGTTCGTTTAGTTATTTTCGGTGGTTGATCATCATTGTAATAATTGTTGCCAATTAGCAATTCTATCCACTAGGTTTCCATAAAATTGCTTTATAATTTTTTCCCTCATATTTCATTTTCCCGGTTCAACTAATTTGTTTTCTATTTGTTTCTGTACGATTCTTGATTCTGGCTCTAAGTCAACTTCAATGATTCAATCTTTCTCTCTGTTTTTCTCTCATGAGTATATTTGCATACTGTTATAACAATCCGTCACGGTTTGCCTATGATCAAATAAAGTTGGTTTCTTCAACTAAACTGAATGATTCATTTGATATTCACACTAACAGTAAAAAAAATGTTAGACAACAAACAAGACTCGAGAGAGTTTATTTGAACCCGTACTTCATATTTCAATAAAGACAAAAACCTTGAGGTTAAATTTCTCATTCTCATCATTGATGATTACTATGACGCCCATCTATGATTATCCGATTCGATTCATTCGACACCATTGTCTAAAACAATTCGATTATCCTAATCAGCAACATAACATTGTCATTGTCACATGAATGGTCATTGATTAATACAATTATCGATGAATCCATCCTTTTTTCATCGATAGTTATAGCTTGTTTCTCATTATTGACAATGATAATTATAGCAATGGTTACCCAGTTTTGCAGACGAATCGAATCTACCAATTCTTGCATATGCAACGCAAACACTATTTGACTTTTAATCACTCCACTCTCAGTTTCGATTCGTGTGTTTGTTTTATCCATTTCCTTTGTTCTACAAAACTGTATTTCATCGATTTGGTTTTAATTATACATCTTTTGATTACTATTTTGGCTAAATGAAGCCATCATCATATTATAATGAAACCAGAAAAAAAGGGGCCATCATAATCGTAATAATGGTTGTAATTATATACTCAAATACAATATTGACCAACGGCAGCAATGTCAGCAACAATGCATGCAGCCAACAAATTAAGAGATCTCAATCACAATTAAAAATTATTCTATACACACCAAATTCTATGCCAAAATTCATCGACTACGGACGATTCCAAATAAAAATTTTAGGCCAGGAAAATAATTGTATGAACATGTCGATACGCGTACCCCAATGTATAACCGGTACTCTTATTACGATTGTTTTTTCTTTTGTTATTGATGATGATGATGATGTGCCCGATGACTATGATTACCAAGTTATTCATTCATTCATTCATAATTAGCTACCTTAATAGAATTGTGAATGAATTTTGTTATTAAAATAATAATTCACAATTCATTTTTTTACGCCCTTCTCAAACCGATTTCTTTTTTTTTCATTTATATAAAAAATGAATGACCACTTGGATGTCTGTATACTTCAAACAAACTTCCTATATGATTCATTCATTGTATTTTCATTTATTTATTCTATACTTTTTTTCAACTATATTAATTGCTTCTTTTCAAATGAATACTTTTTACATTCCACATTTTTTTTAATATCACAAACCCTCTAGATTCATTTTTCAAATTTCATACAGAGTAATTATTCAAATGGATTTTTTTTTGATCGGAAAATGATAAACTTGTATTCAAATGTGTTTATCCACCTTTTATATAATATTAGAATTTGAACATCACACACAAATGTAAATGTTTTCATTATTGTTGAAAGTCAACATCAAATTTGATTAACGAACTTGATAGTTCGATTGTAATTTATTATTCCTATTTATTTTCAAATGTTTTAATAATGAATTTTTTTCTGTTGTTCGTGTGTGTTCCGAACAGAAAACATTCATATCAACAATGAGGATGATGTAAACGGTACAAATAATGAAAGTTCATTGCCAGAATTTGTTGGACACGTACCCAATGTGACTGCTCAGGTTGGTCGCGAGGCTCGTCTAGCTTGTATCATACGGAATTTAGCCTCTTATAGTGTAAGTTTTTAACACTTATCAATCATTATTTGTATACAATTGTCATCTTTATATCTTTAGGCGGCATGGATACGTGACGATTTGAAAAGCATTCTAACATTACAGACACATATTATTACTCGAGATCCTCGGATATCATTGTTGGAGGAAAGCCAAATCGATAGTCAAACAGCTGGTGGCTATGTTGGACTCAATGGAAATGATTTCTTACCCGAAATACCCGGTTCATCTTTGGAACCAATGATGAATAGGATCCGATATTTCATATTAGTCATACGTAATGTTCAATTTTCTGATCGTGGTGGGTAAGTTTGAATTAAAAATTGACTCTTATTTGTCAATGAAAATAAATCCCTTCACTCAGGTATATGTGTCAAATCAACACTGTACCGTTGCGCAAACAGATCGGATATCTAAGGGTAGTTGTGCCTCCAGATATCATTGACCATGAATCCTCTAATGATGTTTTGGTTCGAGAAGGCGATAATGTCACATTAAGATGTAAAGCTCGAGGCTATCCAGAACCTGTTATTGAGGTTTGTGTGTATTCATATGTATCTTTTTATGTGATTAAATCAGTCAATCATTAGTGGCGTCGAGAGGATGGAGCCCGTGTTCCGTTAGGTAATCGCTCCAACGGACACAATAATCGACATGTTATGGGTAGGTTACCACTTTTATTCATTTGTAATCCTTAATTCATTGATACACTACCTTTTTTTAGTCAATAAAACCGAAGGCGAATTACTGGAAATAGCCCGAGTGACAAGGTTATTATAATTTTATTTAATCCAACTTTTCATCATTTCAATTTCAAATGTAGAGTTCATTCTGGAGCATGGCTTTGTATTGCATCGAATGGTGTAATGCCATCAGTAAGCCGTCGAATATTGCTTAACGTACAATGTAAGCCATGATTGACTTTTCATTCATCATTTTTTTTCTTTCAATTATATTCTTTTGCATTGAATTGTTTTAGTTGTTCCACAGATTTGGATACCAATTGAAGAGATCGGGTAGGTTACTGAAAGTTGAATTAAGGTTCAGTTTGTCGTTATATTTTGGAAAAATATGTTTATGCAGAGCGCCATTTGGTTCTAATATTACATTGGATTGTCATATCGAAGCCTATCCACTTCCATTAAATTATTGGACATTTGGTTCACAATCACAAAGTATCTACATAAGCGGACCGAAGTACGAAGTATCGGTAAAAGAAAAGGGCTATAAACGTCATCTCAAGTTGACCATACAATCTTTATCATCCGAAGATCTGGGCCTCTACCAATGTCATGCTCATAATTCTCTTGGACGTCAGGTGAAACAAGTTAAAGTTTATTGTAAGTAAATTAATTGCATGTCAATCGATTCAAAATCGATTTGTAAACCTCTTTCAAATCCCTCCTTTCTGTTGTTCATTCAATTATAATCATTGTTCATTTCTTTTCCTCTTTCATATCATTTCACATCTGGATCACAAATAATAAGCCAGCAAAATCCATCAACAAAGTCAATCAAAATGGAATCCAAATGATCGTAGCCAACAGCCGCCGTTACCCAAAAGAGTATCATCGACATCAATCGATCCAATGACAACTACGACGAAAAATAACGACAAATCGAAGAGAAAACGAAAAAGAAAGAAAATTAAATTGACCACAACAATTCCGCGAAAAGAATGGAGTGCTGTTTTGGATGGCGGTCCCCGTTTCAATGACAAATTGATGATGACAAATATTTCGGATCGTAATTTCGATTTGAATCGACGATCGTCAAAAAAGAAAAATATTCGACCATCAGATGATGATGATGAATATTATAATGAAGACGATTATTATTACGATGAAGATGATAATAATTATTACGATGACTGTGTTCATCATAAATTTGAAATGTTCTTGATGATGGTCGTAATTTTTAACACTGTACTATCAATTCCTCGATACTTCCTATATTGATTTATTAAACATTAATTTTTTTTTGAAATACTTTCAAAAAAGCGCATGTTTTTGCTTGTCGATTCTATTATTAATTCATTCATGTAAAGATCATTATAATAATAAAAAACAACGACAACAGAACATCGATCGATTTTAATCATCAGTAGATAGTCGGTTTCACTTTGTCATTAATTTTTTCCTTGAAATTTAAAAATTAACCAATTGATTATTAAGCAGATCCAATTATTTGCACCCAATCTCCGTATTCTTTGATTCCGTATTGAATATCAAGTAATTCCTTGAACAATTTCAATGTAAATTCATGTTCAGGTATGTTGAGCAATTGTTTTTCAAATAGAATCTGACCAATTGGGCATACAATGCATGCTGTTCCTGAACCAAACATCTCAAGCAGACGATTTTCAGCCAGCAATTGTTTCACTTCAGCCATAGTAATTACACGTTCAATCACTTCAATTTCATTCTGTGACCTAATCAGCTCGATCAAAGATTGTCTCGTTACTCCAGGTAATATTAGTCCCTCAGTCAATGGTGGGGTGATCAATTGTCGCTTTCCGTTTGTATCTTTCATTAGCATGAATATATTCATTGTTCCAACTTCGGTCAGCTCATGATCAGGACCGTAAAGCCAAAGCACTTGTTGTAATCCTTGTTTGATGGCTTCTCTTTGCACTAACATTGTAGGTGCATAATTAGAACCCAGCTTACGGTCACCGGAACCACCTTGCCAAGCTCTAACATATTTTGGATCAGCTAGTAATGATACTGGTTTAAAACCTGTACTGAAATATGGGCCTACTGGTCCAGTTACGACGAATAGTATAGATTTGGTTGTCGGGGACACCCCCAAAGCTTCGTCAGTTGCTATCATTGTTGGTCGAATGTAAAGTGAAGCTTTGGATTCATATGGAGGCACCCATTCCCCATCAATGATTAGTAATTTTTTAATAAGCTCCATCAATTGTTGACCATCGAAATCAGGTAGACAAACTCGAGCTGCCGACAGCCGCATACGTTTCATATTCAATTCTGGTCTAAAGATTCGAATGCGTCCATCGAGTCCTCGGTAGGCTTTCATTCCTTCGAAAATCTAGATGTTTAAAAATGATAACAATAAAATGATGAGGATAATAGATACATACTTCAGGAGCATAATGAAAAACTTTGGCGAATGGATGTAAACAAAATGGATGAACGGGAACAATTCGTGGTGTTTGCCAGCCTTCGTTTTGATTCCAATGAATTTCGATCATATGATCAGAGCAGTGTTGACCAAACACCAATTTTTTCCAATCAGGCTTTTTTGATCGATCTTTCGTATCCAAAATGTTGATAATAGCATCATTTGCCTTTTAGTTACAAGATGCATAATAAATGGTTAATAAATGTGCATGTAATATATTATGGTTATCACCTGAAAGGAATTTGGACATGGTTCCAGTTGAATTTGATTATAATGGACATGATTGGAGAATCTTCGTTTTGTTAGCAATAGATTTTGTCTTTTTTTAGATGACTCGCTATGTAACTGCCTTGATGATGAATGTAAAAAGTTGGAAGACTCTAAACATAATATGGAATGATGACAATCATGGTCAATCATGGCTACCATGTTGGCTGATCTAAGTAAATTTCGTTGAACAATCCTTCCAATAATTGCAAATGAAATCATTTTTTTTAAAAATAAATTTAGAAGTTTTTTTAACAAACAATTTTCACTCAAATAAATAGTCCGAGACCGAAATTCTTTAAATTGATTCGTTGAATTGGAGACTAGTTGTTAATTTTTTAGCGTGGCCCACTGCCACTTTTTTAAATCGTATTCGAATATCCGTTATTAAAATTGGTCACAAATGGAAATCAATCAATCAAGTGATGTTTATTTGGGATCGAAAAAAACAACATCATGTTTGTCAGCAAGTTAGTTATAAAGTGATTATCATCACCATCATAATCATCGTTTGAATCATCCATATCCAGATTCGCTATCCTGATTGTTCTAAGGTAAACAAGATCTTCATACACATACATGATCATCTCTCAAGACATGGATGCTACTGCCAGCTTGCTTTTTTTCATCATTAATTTCAAGTCATTTCGTTTGATGACGACATTCTCATTATTTGATTATTATTCATATCTATCAATATCGATGTTTTTTTTAAGAAAATATTTAGCAAATACAGGCAGTGACATTTGTAATAAGTTATCTTCTCGATCAAAATTTCACTCGTTGTTACAAGCGAGAAAATCGTCGCAAACTATAGCAATCATTTTGATCCAATTTTTCATTTCTGCTGCTGAATAATGGTAAAAGTTGAATGACACATTAAATGATTAAAATAAAATATTTCATTAAATATGGAACATCTTTTCAGTTTGGTCAAGTTTGGAAGGAGTGATGTCATTCTAAACATTAATTTATTAATTTATTGTGTATCTTGAGGTAGCTTGCCATCTTGATTGCGTTTCAAGGCAATCAAGATTGATAATCTCGATCAGTAGACAATCAACCATAGATGTTTGAAAAAATATTCGGTTTTCTCATCGATTTATCATCAATGTTTATCATCATCATCATTTATAAGGATCGTATGATCAATTCAATTATCTCTTCATTTTATGTGGCTTTTTGATATGTTATGTTTATAAATCAATCAAAAACAACTTGTTTGTCATTTATTCGACTTGTTTTTTGTTGATGCTGTATTGATTGTAATGTGATTAAAAAGGAAACTAAACGAATCTGCATGATCATGCTGCTGTTGCTGCTATGCATTAATTTGGAAAATGGGTCCAACATATTCCTAAAAAACATATCAGATACTAATATTTCTTTATATTTGCAATTATTATTCTGTAAAATAATTTAAACCGGATATTTAAATTGTATTTTTTTCATCCATATTCAACTCAATGGTTTTTTTTGCAAAGCAAAGCGACTGCTGTCATACCGATTGTGTTTAAATAGTGGCCTGTATTCCACGTGCTCGCTTGTTTGGCCAATTAATTTGATGTTATTTTTCAATTTTTAATTCAAAAAAATCGAATAATCATGTCCGCAGCAATAACCGATGTTGATAAAAGTGAACAACATGTTGATGCCGAAGCAAATGAATACATTTCAGATGAAGAGAAAAACAACGATGACGGCGATTTGAGGCAAGAATCAAAAGGTAGTAATGCTAAAAAGAAAAAGAATAAAAAAAAGAAAAAACAAACGGCTACCGAATCAGATACCATCGCCGAGACTCCTGATGAAGTCCAAGAAATTTCAAACAAAATCGAATCGCAATTACAAATGGACGATCTTGAAGGTGAAGGTGACGGGCCTATAGCAAAATCCAAAAAAAAACGACACCGCAAAAAGAAACCGACTATCACTTCTCCTCTTGTTCAAACTGATCCTCCATCGATTCCCATTAAAGATTTATATCCAGATGGCAATTTTCCGCTTGGTGAAATCTGTGAACATCCTGGTGTGGATGAAAATACTGCCAAATATCGCATCACATCGGCTGAAAAAAAGGCAATGGATGAAGCATCTGAAGATCAATATCGAGATCTTCGTTGTGCGGCTGAAGCTCATAGACAAACTCGTCAATATATGCTAGACTACATTAAACCTGGTATGACAATGATTGAAATTTGCGAACGTTTGGAAGATACGGCTCGAAAATTAATAGCTGAAAATGGGCTCGAATCTGGATTAGCTTTTCCAACTGGATGTTCGTTGAATCATTGTGCAGCTCATTATACTCCAAACGCTGGTGATAAAACTGTACTTCAATATGACGATGTTTGTAAAATCGATTTCGGTACACATGTTAATGGTCATATCATCGATTGTGCATTCACATTAACTTTTGATCCAAAATATGATGAACTTTTGAAAGCAGTCAAAGATGCCACAAACACAGGAATTCGTGAAGCCGGTATTGATGTACGACTTTGTGATATTGGAAAATCGATACAAGAAGTCATGGAGTCTTATGAACTCGAATTGAATGGTAAATCATATCCGATAAAATCGATTAGAAATTTGAATGGCCATTCAATTGGTCCGTATCGTATTCATGCTGGAAAAACGGTTCCAATCGTGAAAGGTGGTGAAGAAACCAAAATGGAAGAAGGTGAAGTCTATGCCATCGAAACATTTGGTTCTACTGGCCGTGGATTGGTGAACGATGATATGGAGACATCACATTACATGAAAAATTTCCACGTCCAACATGTGCCCTTAAGATTGACCGGTTCGAAGCAGTTGTTAAATGTTATCAATCAGAATTTTGGCACCTTAGCATTCTGTCGTCGATGGCTTGATCGTCTTGGTCAAACTCGATACCTAATGTCATTGAATGATTTATGTAAAAAAGGTATCATTGATCCTTATCCTCCGCTTTGCGATGTCAAAGGATCATATACTGCCCAATATGAGCATACGATTATTCTACGGCCAACATGCAAAGAGGTCGTTTCCCGTGGTAAAGATTATTGATTGATAATTTAATACGTTGTAATTTTTCTTGCTAATCAAAATGATTTCATGATTTTATTATATTGGAATAAATTTGTTTTCTGAATTTTGATATTACTGTAGTAAAATGATTTATAAAAGTTTGACGATTTCAATTGGATGAATTGGCAATTCACTTCATAAAACAACAATTGATTGCATAAGACTAAGTTATGCATCAATGTCTTTCAATCAATCCAAAGAATTCCTGGTTTTTCGTAATTATACAAACCTGCAGTAGTTTAGTGATGAGCATACGAACTAAATTGAAAAACAACAAAAGTAATTGCCAAAAATAATCAAAAAAGCCTTGGGCTTTCCATTTACTTTTTATTTTATTTTGGCTTTTCTTAGAAACTTTTGGACAACGAATAAATTTCATTGAATATTGGTTCTCTATCATTCATCATGTGATGATGATTATTCATTCATTTATATGGATCAATTTTATTAAAGTGGAGTGTAATTCACGGATCACTTCTTTGATCATAATCAACAATCAATGTTTAGGTGGCAATTGTTAAAATTAACGACGAAAAAGTTTTCAAGTGGTCTTTTTTTTGCCAATCGACCCAATTCTTTGTTATGAATTCATTGTGCGCAATCATAATTGTAAATCGAATCGAATATTGTCTCCCATAAATATATGATGACTATAGGTAACTTTCGATTATAACACAAACAAATGAAAAACATTTTTGACAAATAAAATTCTATTCAAATGAGATTCAATTCAATTGATTTTATTTATTGTCAAATTTGTTCCAAATAGCTGATTTGATATTAATTCTATGGGATCTAAGTCATTTTTATCATATGACCATATATAAATATCGATATGGCTTTTATGGCCATTGTTTTTATGATAAACCAATACATTTTATTTAAATTTTATTGGGCCATCATCATTTTTGGCAAAATAAAAAGAATACAATGTGATTCGTTATTATATGTTAAATTTTTATTCGATTTTGACCACATTGAATCTATAGGATGGAAATCCCCATTTGAACTAAACAAATTTATTACTATTTTTCATGCAATTCTCATTGTTGATCGGTTTTTTTTGCTTCACATTCATGTTTGGAACATGATATATTGAAATTTGGTAGTTTAAATTTTCGTATCCAGATCAAATTTTGTTTTTGTTTTTGTTTTTCGATATATTCTAAACAATAAAGAATGTATGTTCATCACCAATCATTGTCATTGTTGAAAAATTTTTTTCTTACCATCATAACCAGTGATGATTCTTTCGACATAGTAAGAATGGATTTAAAATTTGTTTTTTTTTTTCCTGTTTTTTTTTTTTGCTGATTTTACAATAAAATTGTATAGATACTTACAATCGGGGAATTTTTTTTTCTCAAAGAAAATTTTACCACACAAATATAGATGTGGTCCAGTCTGTTTTCAACAATGAACAATTTTTGTTGTTTTTCTTTTTTAGTTCTGCTTTAATCAGCAAAATAAAAAAAAAATTCTTGGAATGTATGGCCATCTATTTTGAATTTAGTAATCTGCAAATAACAAATTACTGAGCCGGAAATACGGCCCAGGTGTCGACCATTGTAATATAGCTATTTTTTATATTTCCTATAGAAAACTTTCATGAGTAAAGATTATCGAAATCAACCTTGAATGCCAAAAAAAAAAACAGCAGCATCAAGTGTGATTCACAATCGATTTATATCAATAAAAAACTAAATGTATATCGTATTGAAAAAAAATGGAAAAAAATTATTTGATTGGATTATTTGATAAACTATTTTACCGGTGCTCGCGTGACCAATGGTCATCATTTTTTTCTGTTTTACTTGCTCTAATTCTTTTTTTTCTTGTCGATCTTAATGTTTTGTAGACAATTTCATATTCGAATTTGTAATTCGTGCGTGTGTGTGTCTGTGCCAAAAGCAGAATATTTCCATCTGTTCGATTATAGATTTTTTTTGGCTGCCTGATCATTTGAGTGAATTTTTTTTTATCCATTTCCATATGGACTATAGATAGTATTGTGAACTGGATTCGAGCTTTGTCCGAACATAATTGATATTTCGTTTGTTTTGTTTTTGTTTTTTTTTTTGGCTCAAAACCCATTAACCACCATTTCGGATTGTTACATTTATTTATTGTTTTGTTTCAATTTCAATTATACATTAATGTACATTTTTTTGTATAAAAATAAAAAATAAAAAACGATAACAAAATTTCCAATTTAGTTAAAGTAAAAAAAAGAAGGAATTTTTTTAAAAAAGAAATTTCAAATAATGCCTGCCATCTAGGGAAAAGTAGATTTAAAAATTTAAATTTTATCAGTTTTTAGGATTTTTTTTTTCTAAAAAAATGTACTTCAAACATTTTTTTGCAAATTCAAATTTAATTATGGAATTGCAGAATTTATTGAACATATTGGTTAAATTTTTAAAATTGTTTACAATCGAATTTGAATGCAAATCTAGAGGATTGATTATCAATGGTTAAACCTGATCCTGTTAAAAATAATCAATTTTGTGGAATTGATTGGAATCGTGAGCCGACAACCCAGCAAACGACCAACAAAAAGAATGGATTCTGTAATTATGTATGTCGCTCCGATTGTTGCAAATCGAAGTCTACCGACGATGAATGTCATCGGAGATGTCCACCGCCATGTGATATATTATGTTTTTATCTCCAACGTTGGTATTCACGTTTGGCTATCATTTTCGGTTATATTGCTATCGTTTTGATATCAATGATATTATTACTGTTTGCTGGATTTTTTAACACTCATTCATGATTGAGCTATTATTTATTGTGTACCTGACATAAATTAAAAATATGTTTATTTATTTTTCTTTTCTTTGTTATTTTTTTTAATGAATGTCATTATGAGGATTAATAGGATTAAATGATAATGAATCGAATATCATCAGCTTAATTTATGGATGCTAATAAAATAAATTGGTTACATTATCAAAATGTAATCAATGAACGATTGGCCGAGTTTGATGGTGAATCACACAAATGAAAATTATTTTCTAAGGTTCCGATCATTTGACTTGTGGAGTTTTTCAGTATCAAATCATTGTGTTTAATTTAGTTAACAATAAAAAAAATGCAACGGAAAATTTATCCAATTGAATTCTTTCTGTTTTTGATTGTTGGTTTTGTTTTTCCCACAAATGGACAAGTTACTGCGAATCACAGTGATAATTTAGTCAAACCAGCATATGTTACATTTAATGATGAATCGGCAGCCAAATATCAGTATCGAATGTCCGGTGATCCACGATTGATGTATCCTTACACAGAAAGTGATTATGTTCGTGAAATTAATTCAATGAAACAGTTTCATGATCAGCCATTACCTTTTCGATTGCCTTTTTTTGGTTTTGCTTATCATTACATCTGGATACACAAAGATGGTTATGTTTGTTTTAATAGAGGTCTAAAAAGCTATGAATTTCCTGTGTCATTTCCAGCTGTTCCAGAAGATCCAGAACGCGAAGAAGATCCATCAATGATGGCCATATTTTTCGCTCATCAAGATATACCATCATCGATTCCTGAATCTGGCTTATATCTACGAATCGAATTAGTCGACCAAATATCTAATCCTGATTATAAACAAATGATACTAGATAATTTCAAAGGGGCAATGGCTGGTTCAGGTGCTTTCACACCAAAATTTGTCATTATTATTACATGGAAAAATATGACTTTCGCAAATCGACGTTATGATCGACCATTAAAAACGAATACCTATCAAATGGTAATTGGCACCGATGAGAAAGAAACATTTGTCTTTTTCAATTATGAATGGATAACTTGGATAACTCATCTTGATAATTATGATGGACTTAATGGTCCTGCCGCTTATGTTGGTTTTAATGCTGGAAATTCAACTCGTTCATATGAATTTGCACCATATTCACAAAATCCACGTATATCGCTATTGCCACTAATCGGTTATGCTAACAATATTCCTGGCCGTGCCGTATTTCAAGTTCATGATGTTCTCTTTCAAGGCTCATGTGTGGATAAATCATTGGATCCAACACTTCCTGATCGTATGGGTTTAACAACATCAGTAAATTATATAAGCAGCCTTGGCGGTGAATTGCTTGAAGTGACTGGACCTTGTTTTTGGCCAAACAGCCGAATAACATGCCGTTTTGATTCAATTTTGGTAAAAGGCCATTATGTATCGACCAATGTTGCCATCTGTGTGACACCGTTGATTATGTTCGAAGGATTCGTTGATTTGATTGTCACTGTTGATGATAAAACCTTTTTCTATACCCGAATGTATATCCGTAAGTTTATTGCTTGTCAATAGTCGCGATAGATTTTATTACTTTTAATCTAGAATCCCCAGAAAGTCGTCGCGAATTCGATGTTTGGGTCGAACCCACGGAATTAATTGAAAAAAATCCGGATACAATTGATGAAGAACCTGAACAAATATTGACAATAAGATGGAAGACCGGCATCGGTGAGGAGAAAGATCCAATTACTATTGGCATTTGGGCTTACCAGGAATTAGATCAAACTCTATATCCGAGAGTTTATTGGATTCTCGATTTAACTCGTGATGCGACAAATAATGGCGAATATAATTTAAACCTCAATCAACTACCTTCATTTGATCACTTAAAACGTTTTGATTATCATTTTGGTTTTATCGGGGTAAATATAACCGGAAAAGAATTATCAATGACTGAATGGAGCCAACCAATGCCTCTTGGATGGCTGCTACGACATTATTGGCGTCGTGAATTTGGTCAAACTAAATGGCAACGAAATTTCTGCCAAAAATGGTTCGATCGTGAAGATCAGAATGAATATTTTGCTACCACATTGTTTCGTTGTCCATGTACTTTGGCTCAAGCTTTACACGACAAAGGCAGATTCGCTCCGGATGAACGATGTAATGTGGTTGATAAGAAATGTGATCAACGACATTTGGGTGCTCAACACTGTGTTCGTACAGCTCGACCATCGTATGTCAACATCTCAACCATTAATTGATTGTTTCATTGTTTTCGATTCTTTTTGTTAGAATTGGTGGATCCGGACAACAATGTTGCTATGATGATTATGGAGAATTGATTCGCAGTGCTGATACTATGTATTCGGGTCGACCATCACGTACATTCATATATGGAAAACATCCGTTTAAGATGCAAATGCAGGTCTGTGGCTTTCCTATTATTACTAATTAACTTGCAAATAATTTAACGATATATTTTTCTAATTCTATTCTTGCTAGACGCCCACATTGTCTTATTGGCAACATGATGTAATGCCTTTTTATTATTGCTGCAAATGGGCGCCAAGAGAAGATGATAGCGATACGTGCATGATGTTTAATTATTTTCGTACAACCCAGGATTGCAGTTCATATCAGCCACCAGCCATAGCATCGATTTTTGGAGATCCTCACATTATTACTTTTGATCGAGTAAATTATACATTCAATGGTCGAGGTGAATATTCTCTTGTTCATACGAACAATCCAATACATAAACTTGATATACATGGACGTTTTGAACGATTACCTGGCCATGTAAATGCTACTCAATTAACTGCCGTATCTGTACGGGATAATGTCTCATCAATCGTTGAATTTCGTATAAGACCGGATGGCTGTCGTTGGTTTAACCAAATATTTATTATCGCTGACAAGGAATATCTTTACTATTGGGATGATAATATGCGTACGATACATACGCGTGGCGTAAGCATCTACCAACCTTCAGGCATTCGTAACATGTCACATTTGATTGCTATATTTGATTCTGGTGCCGGTGTTGAAGTTTTGGTCAACGGTGCCGGAACTTTAACCTTGAACGTATACTTACCGTTGACTTTTATGAATTCTACACAAGGCTTACTCGGTTATTATTCAAATGATCCGAATGATGATTTCATGTTGCCAAACGGTTGGATATTAACAAATGAACATGACAAAAGTATCAAACAAATTCATGAGGAATTCGGTGTCAAATATCGTCTTCTAGAAATAGCTCAAGCCAACATCTCCCAGTCGTTGTTTTTCCATGATGTGCTCACTCATTCACAATATGATGATGTTAAATTTCTTCCTCAGTTCGACATAGATCTACAGCAATTAGAAGATTTGAATGATGTTGACCGAATTTGTTCGGAATCATTGGCATGTCAATTTGATTATCTAGCCACTGGTGATAGTGGATTTGCTGAAAATACAAAAAAAGAAGAAGCGATTGCCGAGAACATGCATTCAATTATTACCGAATCAATCATTCGATGTCCTGCATTGGATAAGCCAATAAATGGTCGTAAAAGTGAGAATCGTTATTGGCCCGGTACCATTGTTCGATTCAGCTGTTTAGATGGATATCGTCTGCTTGGCTACGAAGTACGTCGATGTCGTGAAGATGGTCTATGGAGTTGGGGCGTGGATCCATATTGTATGCCTGTCATACAATATAATATCCAACTTTTATTCACTTATCTTGTTCCAATTATTGTTACATTTTTGGCCATATATATGGCCATATTTTTCTTCAAACATCGTCAACAACAAAAACTTAAAATGGGCAAGTCTTCACAGAGGCGACATTGGTTATTATCTCGGCTCATGTCAAATATCACTACGAACTCGCAATATGGCGGAAGATCATCCTATATTACAGGTGAAAATGTTGATCAATTGATCGATTCAATCGAAACAACAAATGAATCACATCCTGTCCGAATCGCTGACACAAGTCTCGATGACAATGATGTTGTCGTTGATGACCAAAACGGCGAGGACGGTATACCGGACTCCAATGTACTAACAAAACCACCGCCTCTTCCAACTGTTCCACCACCGTCAAGAGAGCCCGAAAAATCATTCAATCGTTTTGTTTTGCCATTCGATCGACAAAATACGATTAACGATTCAGATAATTCAGAAAAAGCCATTCTTGTTTGAATGGCTATTCTATGTATTTTCAAAATAAAATTACTCTAAATTTTTCTTTTCCAATTCAAAATTTTTAAATTCAAATTATTGATAATAGATGTCACCTTTTCTGTTCCAAATTTTAACGAGCAACATTTGAGTTTGGAACATGCAGAACAAATTATTGTTTTTTTAAACTAAAAAAAAAATGAAATACAAATGCTTATTCTAATTAAATGAACGAAATATCAACAATGGATCATTTAGTGAACAAATCTAATAACTCTTTCGACGTTAGGATTTATTGCTTAAGTTTGATTTCTGTGACAAACTATTGATGGCCGATTTTCGTGCAAAAGAATCTGGAAAATTTTCATTTGAAACCCGTTCAACATCATCGTCGGGTCTGATTCATTCTGCCTCTAGTCATTCAAAGATTGGTCGATCGATTAATGATGATGATGAAATTCGCAAAGTTGAATATTGTCATCAGGTGGATGATGAGGTTGCCAATTATTTTCAGCCAATCATTATGGAATTGAAGCTTCAACAAGAATTATATTCGGAGCAAATAAAACGTCAACATGATCAGTTTCTGAATCGAATACAGACATTATGCAAGAATATACGAAAATCGATGCACACCCGTGTTTCATCAGGATTAGTTCATCAATCCAATACAAATATTCATAATGATGACGATAAAAATACTGACATTGATATCTGATTTTTTTAAGAAAACCAAATTTTTATGATTACGGTATTCATTCGTTACCTTATCATTTTATTCATCACACGCAAATAAAATTCCCGCCATTATTATTTTCTTCACTCTGTTATTTTATTGTTCATTAATTGTTTCCGCCCGTAAAACAAACACTATAGTGGAAAAAGCGCATACATTTATCAATGTTCATTGACCTTTGCCATACCCAACAACACTCTCATTCATCATCGGGAAACCCTACTCTTAATTTGAACAAAAGCATATTAAAATGTATTTATTTATTGTTGGACGCATTCTCAAACACGATAAGTGCAGTCATTTGAATTAAATCATGTACAAGCATCAAAGCATAAAAATGTCTTTGATTGTCATTTGAAAAACATCATGATATTTATTTGAGCTGTAAAACAAAATTGGTTTAATGTGTGTAAATGCTTATATGTGTGATGAGCGACTTTTTTTTCATAACATTTTCATATATGCATTTCGAAATCAATTCTTTCCATGCCCATTTCGAAACGACAAACAAATTTCATTCATTCGACATAAACATCCTAATTGCAATATTTAATCATCATCATCATCACCATTTTGCCAAATACTGGTGTATCTCGATTTGAATGCATGATTTGTTTTTCACTTTCAATGTCAATGTGAATAATAACAACAACAAACAAACAAAAAACAGGTAGGTGCATATATAAATGCAATTGTCATCAACGTTGTACAGGTAAATCCATTTTCGAAAAAGATAGAGACTGTTAATTCAAAATCGATTGAAACCTATCATCGTATAGAATCAATAACCAGTCGCGTTTTTTTTGTTGTTACTAAGAATTTCTAGAATCTTATGTAACAAAAAAATTATTATTGTCAATTGTTCAAGTGTTTTCATTTGAATCCACATAACAACGATCACTCATAATTGACGCGGAAGTATCCTATACTTGACATTCAATAAAAAAAAATTGTCAATCAATGGACCAAAAGTAGCAATTGTCATTCTCCTGGGCAACGGTGTCATTGTTGTCGTTACCGGACACAAAAACTAATTTAAATTGAAACCAGTTATTAAAGGTATCAAATTAAACATTATTATTATATTCTATGATGACAAAAGGTAAACGATCTTTGAACGAAATTTTAGCTTATTCTGTTTTTTTGTTCGTTTTTCATTTTCTTTTTCTTTCTCCCACTGTGCGTATCATACCGAATAATTTACTGTAATGAAAAGTTTTACAACGTTCATGAAGCATATATCTTAGGAAAAGTTTTCTATTCTTATATTTTTGTTAACATTTCAATTTTTTAGTAAAAAAAAACATGGGCCAGCGAAATAAACCAAGTCCAACTCGCTCATCGCATCCCGTTTCACCGCTTTATAACAAAGGTATGGCATTACATCGTTTGATGGAATATCTAATTAACATTTCATTGATACTTGTAACCGTATACTTGGATTGCATAGTTAGTAAAAATTTGATCGTAGTAAAAGTGATCAGATACTGTCACACTGATGATCAATGTAGCAAACATATAACATACAGTAGCTTGAGCTTAGCAACCAACTGATTATTTTATCGTGTAAAATTAAAAACATGCACAAACTCATACTAACCAAAATATGAAAAAATACGACGTCCATATGATCGATTAGATCAATAAATTCATTCGTAAGATTTTAAGTTGATGTACATAATGTATGCAAAAAATCAGCAACATCCGTTTATAAATAAGAAACAACTATTAACAAGACACTACCATGGCGATATTATTCGTGTAGAAAATGATATGAATGAATTGTATGATGCAAATCAGTATCGACGAGGATCAAAGCGATACAGTATGAAACAATGATGAATCATTCTTGCATTTTCATCCATCAATCTACTTGATTTTATTCGTTATCTTTTTTTCTCATTTATAGATGAATTTACGTTTGAAAGCACTCGTCGATTCGGACCCACGAAACGACGAAAATGTACCGATTGTGGTTGTCTGTTTATATTCATTTTGTTCATTGGGATTTGGGCTGGCATGATCACATATTGTATGTATATTTAGATTGAATAGATAATAATTACTCAGCATTTAATCATCACCGCATTTGCAGTTTTAAATCATGTTAACATCGAACAAGTGATTTTCCCTTCCGATTCATTTGGTAATGTCTGTGGTAAAGGAGAATTGAGGTGATTATTTCAAAACCATTCTTATAATGAAGGATTAATTAATCTTTTGTCTGTCTAATAATATAGCGATCGTCCATATCTATATTTTTTCAATATTCTTAAATGTGTTACTGACCTAGAAGGTACTATCATCGATGGCTGTAATACGCCACAGGTGTGTGTCAAAGAATGTCCCAACATAACGTTCAGTGTTGGTTCTTCTAAGGAAATGCGTAATATCGAACTCGAACATGCAATCTGTCAGTATGGCATTCGGCCCAATAGGAATAATGTATGTATTCTTTTAATCTTTTCCTGTTGATAATTTTCAAATCAGATCTTGACTGATAATCTTTCAATAGCTATACGAATTAAGCCAAAGAGATTTATGTGCCAAATACTATTTCAAAAGTGATCCAGTTGGTGGACGATGTGTTCCATCGATATTACATCTGATTAATAATCGGCTTTTTGATGAAATTCGCAATCAATCCATAAAAGATGATTCTTCCGATGGTTCGGTCACCGCCGAAGAGATTGTTGAATCCAATAAAGCTATAAGCAAATTGATGCAAGCATTAACGCTAGCTAATCATCTTATAACTGATATTGCCCGAACATGGAGATGGATAGCCATGTAAGTTTTGTTGAAGTTTTTATTCACATGAATAATCGTATTTTTCATTAGCGGTCTTATCCTAACCATGTTCATCGCTTTTTTGTGGATATCATTCATGCAATGGATTGCCAGATACATGATCTGGGTATCGATAATTGCATTGTTTATACTAAACAGTTTGGCTTTATATTATAGTGTTGATCAGTACATGAATCTGGTCAATACTAAACCTAGCGACACAGATTTGGTTGATATAAATTCAATCATGGCTAAAGTTGTTCATCCAACTGAAGCCCATCGTTATCTTCGTACATCTCGACGTAAAGCTGATATGATGGATTTTGATTTTAAAAGTTTGCTCAAAGATAGCCTGGAGCCATATCTCAACAGTACCAAACTTTGGATTGCTTTGGCAGTTGTGTCAGGTATTGGCTTATTGGTATTGACCATGATTACATTTTGTTTATGCAGTCGTATTCGGCTGGCTGTAGCTGTCATTGAAGAAGCTAGCAAGTAAGTCCAATCGCTTATTGAATGAAATTTTTTAAATATTAAACATTTTTTTCTTTTAGAGCGGTCAACAACACCAAGTCAACGTTGATGTTCCCTTTGCTTCCATTTACGTTGAAAGTTGCAGTCCTGACAGTCGCTTTATTTGCATTCGTTACCATATCAACCGGTTCTCAAGCTCATTACCTTCATCAAGTATCTGGAACTGCATGTAGTCCCTTAAAGGTAAGTTCATTTGAGCTTCAATTCACAAAAATTACATCTGGATATTTGTCAGGAATTGGACAACAATTGCACAAAAATCCGACCATTTGGCAGAAGTTTAGTCTATTTGGCTCATGGTTTCAACTTATTCGCTCTCATTTGGGTGCTTTACTTCATCTCTGGTTTATCATATGTAACATTGTCGGGTGTATTTGCCGACTATTACTGGACAAGAGACAAACGTGAAATATCGTTTTTCATACTTTTGCGCTCGTTTAAACGCTGCATTTTGTGAGGAAATTCATTTTATTAACATGTTTTCGCTTATTTGACATTTTCATCTTTACCCTAACAATAGCTATCATTTGGGTTCAATTGCGTTTGGTTCATTATTAATCGCCATTGTTCGTTTCATTCGAATTATACTCGAATACATTGATCAAAAATGTAAAAAGTATTCGAATAATGTGATTTCTCGTTTTATTATGGGGTTTGTTTGAATTATTATTTTTGTTTATTGATTATTGAATTTTTTTTGTTGTCATTTCAGCTGCTGTAAATGTTGCCTGTGGTGTTTGGAAAAATTCATCAAATTTATTAACAAAAACGCTTATATTATGATGGCGGTACATGGAAAAAGTTTTTGTCGTTCTGCTCAGGATGCATTTTCATTGATCATTTCGAACGGGGCGCGTGCTTTGGTTCTTGAGTGTTTGAGCGCATTCCTTTTATTCCTATCCAAATTAGCCGTTACATTTATTTCTGGCATGATAGCCTTTTTGATAATTACTGATCAAGTCGAATTTGTTCGTTTGGGAGATTTCGATGATCTCAATTATTATTGGGGTCCACTTGGGGTAAGACATTTCACACATAATACATAGATTGTGTAATAATTTCTTTATTCATATTATTCTTGACAGGTATATCTAATTCTCAGTTATATATTGGCCTCCTCATTTTTTAACGTTTACGATGTTGCAGTTGATACTATTTTCCTCTCTTTTCGTAAGTATTCATAATCAATCCGTTTTATTTATATGTCTAATTTCTTTTTTTTTTAATTTTATTGATATCTACAGTGGAAGACTGTAAAATTAACGACGGATCCAGTGAACGTCCTTATTACATGACTAAATCATTGGCCAATATTTTCGGTCGTCAAAATAATCAAGCATACTGATCAATTTTTTTTGTCTTATTATTAGTGTCAATTGATTTTCGAACCTAATGTAACATAATAACCAAATTCCAAAAACAAAATCACCCACGATATGCAATTTAATGAAAGATACGTTAAAAATATGATTTTCGATTGATCAAAATTGAATACCACTTCCAGATGTTTATTTTTGTTAAAATTTTCACCATTTTGTTTTGCAACATCATCATGCAAAATCTCATCCTCATGTTGACTCTTTTATGCTCAACGCCTTGTTATTTTTATTCAATCTTCATTCATCAATCATTAATAATTTCCAATGTTTCATAATTCCTGAATCCAATAATAAGATTCTAATACTATAAAAAGATATATAATAAAGAAATTAAGCGTATTGATTGCTTAAAATGATATAATCACTATCTTTGCAAATAACCTTGACATTTTATTAATCAATAAAAGCGGGACATTGAATGAATTTTCAAAAATATAAAATTGAAAGTTCACAAGAAAAACTTTTGTTTTATGTTCATAAAAAATTAAAATGACAATGACACAATAGATACAATGAATTTTTTTATGTGCTTATGAAATTATATTGAATCAATTTAACTGATTTGTTGAAATCATCTCAAATTCTAGGGGTTCCAAAAGTTGAAATTTATTCATGATCAATCGATGACGATTTTGATGCTGAATATTCCAAACAACGTAACCGGTTAACAAAAAGGCCATCGATAATGTCATTGCTCCAAGTAATAAAACGATTGTCGTCAATGTATTGTGTCCGAAAAAACTATTTGTCTCGCTATCACACATTTGATATTCTATATGTTCTCTTCGCGGACAAAATCCATTCATAGTTCTGTGTTTTTCAAGTATCGATTCGGCAATTGTCACATCAGTTTCATCACAAAGATTGGCAGAATAAAACGAGTTCGATTCGATGGCTCGTTTTATGCAATTCTGATGTCGATAAATGATGCAGCAGACTGGCCAACGGCGAGCATATTCACTGCCACTGATAATCAAATTGTTGTCATTGTTGCTTAATGTTATGTCTGTTGCTTCTTCGGTAAACCGTTTCGAACATTGGTTGAACTTTTTTGTCATTGCTTCCCGACATTTTGACCTAATGCCAAGCTTTATAGCTTTAATTTCTTCCGGAATAATTTGTTTACGAAATTTTTCAATCGTTTCATTTGCGGACTGTTTGTCATCAATTTTTCGATCATTTTCACATTTGATAAAATGATTCAACACGATAACAATCAACAGAAAAATCAATTTTCTATTCATTTTTTAAGGATAGGGTGTTAGCAAATTAAAGGATTGTAAAAAAAATCAATAGAATGTAGAAATTAATAAAACTACGCAACTCATTTTAAAATAGAACCTGAAATATTAGCCACATTGCATTCAATCAATACAGTATTGCTTCCATCAAATTATTTATGTTTATTAATCCTAATCATGATAATTACTCTGGTTATGTAGTGTAATGATAATAACTATGACAACATTGATTAAACTCAATTTAAATTTTATTTTTTTAATATCTTTGACATTTCGAATCTAGTACAATTAAAGCATGTTAATTAAATTTTTTTTCTCTGCAAATTATGTTTAGTTAATATCATTCGATTAGTTGGTTGATTAATGACTTGTTCACGTTGATTATCGGTTCCATTTTTGATAGACGTGTAGGAATGATGAATTTGTTTTGATTTTTGCAATACAATAGTATTACCAATATCATCATCTGATGAAGAAGATGATGATGTCGATTGTTCGGCAATCACATTCAATCGAGGTGGTCCATTATTGGTCTCGTTTAGATCGGTTTGTTTGGTTCTTATAATAGGCATTTCTATCGATTCATGACGATGGTTCAATTGATGGTTGATGGTTGTTAATTGATTGTTCCGCGACAAATCATTTGATCTGTTCAGCGTATAAGATCCATTGTTTGTACTAATATCGGATGAATATTTCATATCAGAAAAATTTGGCGATCGAGTCGTAAATGTCGATCTAATAAAAGAAATTTCATTTTTCTAATTAGGTAGAACTTTGCACACTTACCGACACCACAGAAAAAGACTAATGATAGCGACCAAAGTGACAACAGAAGCAACAACGATGATGACAATCAGCTCTATATGCATCTTGTTATCCTTTTCTAAGCATCTATTCATACGAATCAATTTAAATTTTCGACCATAATCTACGTCCAATGTTTGTTCATAATGTTCGTAAATTGTGTTGTTTGTACAATGACATTCGATCATCAATTTTCTCATTGAATTCGACCAATTACAATGTCCAGAGAAATTATCATCTTGTGAACAGGTTTGCGCACACACATCGTTACTTAATTGACATTTGTGAATGGACATTCCATTTTGCTCGTATAAATTACCTGTAGCATTTATCAGTTGTCTATATTTTTCGAACTGAACACATTGACATTCTATTTGCGATGCATTTGAATTACAGACAGTTCCAAGATATGGTGCACATTTGATCGAATTGATATCACAGGGCTATTAAAATGAAATAGAAAATTATCTCAAATACTAATGAATAAAGAAAACCTACATTTTGCTTTTGAACATTTAATTTTTCTACTAATCCAAGAATGATTAATTCGTCACTGTAAGAAGAATCAATAAAACATTGGGTAAGATTTTCACTAAGGAAAGGATTGCAATCATTATAAAGCTGGTCTATCAAGATCGTGTTTATATTCTGTTTTTGCATCTCATCTTCTTGTATCGTGAGACCCACAAAACAATTCAAAGCGGAAGACCGATTGTTGATGGATATTTTTGTACAATTTTCAATAGACAAATTTATCATAACGTCTTTAAATAGTTTTCCTTTTAAATATTTTGTCATGTATTTTTCCAATCGACGTTCAATTGATTTGGGAAAAATCCTTGAAATTTGTTTATTAATCAATGGAAAATTGTGACGAATATTGGCTTGATGAAAATCTTCAAATAATTGTTGAATATTGAAATCACTCAAAAGTGGTCGTAGTCGTTTTTTTATAATCTCGAATTGATTGCCATTTCCGTATTGTTGTCTGAGCCATTGATTTGCATCGCCGATTATCCTCGAATCGTTTGTCCATAGAACTGATGCTTCCAATGTTTGCCACATGAACGTAAGATTCATCGAATAGACATGTGTAGAATATGTACAACTATGATAATCAAATAGTTGAACGAATAATTCAATATCATTGGCTCACTTACTTTTGTTCATCTTTTGAAATAATTGTTCCATGTGGACAGCGACAAAAGTGTTTCCAGTTGTCATTTTGTTTGGGATAAGCATGATTGTCTAATGTGTAGCCTATTGGATCACATTCGGCGTTATGTTTGGCACACAACGTCATTATTGATGGATCTTGACATTGGTCTTGACAAGATTCACTTTTCCCATATTTTATCAAACGTTGACCAGGTGGGCATAAACACTGGTGTTGTATTTTGTATTGCTCACTCCATTGAATCAAACACAATGCATTCTGTTGCAGACATTTATCCAGGCCATTTCCACCGATATCACAAATAGGTTTTAGGTTGCAAAATTTTCGATCTGATGATTGTTGAAAAAGTAAACCATCCAACGAGATTGAACAATTACAACGTTTCATCGAATTAATCTCGATCGGTTCTTGGTGGCCTGGACATTCAAACTCTTCTTTATTAAGCTGTTCGCATTGATAAACATTGTTCGACACCAGTCGGAATCCTTGTTTACAAAGGCATGTATAATTTCCGTCACCTTTGAAAGTAACGGAACAACTCCCATTCGGACCGCATCGGTTTCCATAACAAGCATCTCGTTCGATGCATTGTGAAGTGGAATCTTCAATATAACCCATTTGACTATCACATAGACATTTATATGACTTATCTGATTCTCTCGACCATATCCGATTATCTGGACATTGTTTGAAAAATGGTTGCGGAACATCGACGCATCTTTTTGAAAAAAAAACAAAATTAAATAATATTATCATCAAAAAAAAAAAAACAGTTGTAAACCTTGACAATTGATCGTTCCAATATTGATTGGAAGCTTGAAGTTCACAATTACAGCGAAAGTGATTTTCATAATTCACACATTGCAAATCCAAATTCTTACAAAGTTGACGATTTGTTTGAGTTTTATTGATGTTAAATTTATCACAATAATTCACATATTGACAATATGTTCCAATGAATCCAGAAGGGCATTTACAGTGATAGTAATCATTTTTGTTTGCAGAAAAATCAACCAAACAAGTTGCAGAATGCTTACAACGATTCTCACGGCAATAGTCATCCATATCTAAATGAATGATTTGTAATGTATTATCGTCATTTTCGATACGATTATCGGCAATACTAATGCCAATACGAATAGGTTTCTGGTCATAAAAAGAGTCTAGTCTAAACTCTAAAAGCGAAGAATTTGAGATCGCGATGGATATTTTTGATGTAATATCTTGCATTCGATCATTAAAAACTATGGGATGCCAGCTAATCAATTCAGAAAAATTTTTCACATTAAAATAGAATTTATTTGGGATGTTCGAATGGTTTTTGCTTGAATACGTGATCCATTCGCTTAGCAGGTAAGATATTCTGGAATTCGGATGATTTGAATCAGGAAAATTATTATTTCCAATATAGTTGAACATGTTTGAATCATTCTTCCAAACACTACTTGGAAAACGAATTGGCCACAAGCGTTGACTTCCATTATGTTCATCCCAACTGGGTAAATAATAATTATTTTGTTCGTTCGAATTAATTTGTAACGAAAAATTTTTGATGATTAGTGCGACTATTTTTGCATTTGTTTTGCTGTTTTCACCCAGATGTGCAGAAAAGGAAGCTACAACGCGATTACTATTTTGTGAAGTCCATTCATATGCACATATATGATCAGTATGCGATAAAAACGATGAATTATCGGATATCCAATTGGGTTGGTTTGTCCACAAGTAGTCATCATTTGATGATAATTTTATACCGATTTGATTCATACTTGATCTTGACAAGTATTGCATATCAAAGCAAATGCTTCTGTTTCGTAAAGTGAAATCTAAAAAAGAATTGTTAGACATCATCGTGAAATAGATTTTATCAGAATCTTTCATTGAATTTCGTAGTGATCGATAATCCTCTACAAAATAGGCCAATGATTTGAAATTAAATCGATATTGCTCAATCGTTGAGGCTATAGATGTAACATTGTACAGAAATTTGGCGGATGGCTGTGACAAATTGTTATCAAAAATAAGTTCCGATGATGAATAGGTCCATCTTGTTTGACAGCTTAAATGATTAATAAACATAATTGACTTCGGTTTTAGTGAATATAATGCGCTTTGACAAACCTTTCTTGATTCGACCATTCCATTACGTTTGGCCATGAACATGAGCATTCAAAATAAGATGAATTGATCGGAATACACTGATTTGTTTCAACTGGATCGTTCAATAACTTTGGACAAAATAACTTTCCCTGAATTGGTTACAAACAATAGCATTAAAATCATTAAAGGAGTTGAACTAGTGATAAAACCAACCTTTAAACATGGATCATGATGTTGACAATGTTCACCAAAATGACCTCGATAACAACGACATCGGGCAGCTTTGCCTAATCGATAGTCGGCATAACATTCGCCATAACCTGTGCAATTGAATTCCTGACATCCTAACGGATTCAATTGAAATTTGATCATCGTATGATTCTCGAATTGAATTTCTATGGATATCTTGAATCCAAACACATGATTCTCATTCGTTGATAACGAAGAAAATCTATTAAATGTTAGAAAACATTGGCCATATATGCAAGATAAACTTTCACTGAGCTTGATGCTGCCAAACTCAAAGTTAGATTCATTCATTCGAAAGTAATACATAAGCCCATCAATACGTTTGGCTTTTTCTCCTGCAAACCAAGGTGAAGTTTCGAATTCGAATCTAATCGAATCCAGTTTTGGGGCATAATTATACCATTCCGTTTCAGACCGAAAAAGACCCGTTTTATCTGTCAATTATACAAGTTATAATAATGTCAAAAGAATTCAAATTCTTACTTATGATTGTGTTAGTGTTGATCAAATCATTATTATAATCATTTGAGTTACTTTGACTCAATTCACCAGTTAATTTTTTCAATTCAAAGTGAATTGATTTAAACTTGATTTTGACAGGCATATTGCTTTCAGGATCAAAGCGGATAATAAACGAATCCCATTTGTTTAGAATTTGTTCCCAAATAGTAGAAAAAGCAAATAAATTGGAAACTAGACAGAATTGGATTGTTGTATTTTTCGGGTCTAACAAATTGTTAATGCCGTAAAATGGTATTGACGAATTAGAATGCTCGATAGCTGCATTCAATCGAACAAATTGGTTTCTTCTGATTGTGTTTTCTATGTTATAATTGATCATAAGACAAAAGTCATATTTCATATATAAATGTTCAGTTTTCAAATCTATTGATATCAGCGGTTGATTAGTCCAGTTCGTTTCATTCGTAGAATATTCGAAAGGCATAGTACGATTTTTGTTAATGGTAACGTTCGGTTTAATACAACTGTAGTAATTTTAGATAATATCAATGCTAAGTATTATTAATTGAAAATGAAAATCATTACCTTTTGCCGTTCCATATAACCTTATTATCTTTGTTGTTACATAAACATGTCGTGCCATTTTTGGTGTTGATACAATCCTCTGGATGATTACATTCATTTTTATAGCTGCAAAAATCTTTATTCTCACAATAATTGCCATAGTAACCTTTCCGACAATTACAATGACCAGTTTTTTTGCTAGGATCGGATAAACAAATACCTTGATTTTTACATTTGAATAATTCTGAATGGCAAGGATCACCGAATCCTTGATTAAGTCGCAATGATCCTTCCAAACGTGATGATAACGAATGACAATAAGACTTATGGCCTTCAATTATAAACACAAGGCGAAATAGCCGGGTTTGTGGACGTTTGATCAATTGAAATTGTACGATTGTTGAAGAGTTTGTGAACTGAATTGATCGAATAGAAATATCCGAGCAATGACCTATCTGTGTACAGATTTGTGCTGAAATGAATACATTATTTTTGCTTTGATATGAATATTCAAATATTCTATTGGAATTGAAATTGTAATCATCGAATTGAATCCAACGAGATGATATACGTCGTGTGATCAATTTATCTGGATTGTTGCTGAAAAGTCGACAATCTATAAAAGTATTGTTTTTTCATTGTCTCTTTAATTTATATAGTTCATATAATGAATCAGGTTATCTTACCTATAGTGAAAAAGATGGCTCCATCATTAAAGTCGAATGTTTCGTCATCATTGTTGGATTGAAACCAATCTTTTGACCAATGATAGGTTATTTGATCAAATGATCGTAGAAAATAAATTGTCGCTTCCGTTGTTTGATTAGTTCTAGATGTTATAGTTACATCACTTTTATTTATTAACTCGAAGAAAATGGTGTATTTTTGGCTGGAAAAATAGATAAATTCCTGCAGACATATTTCGCTTGTGGTTTTGAATGAGTTTAAAGTCAAATTTGTTATAGGCACAAGAAATTTAGTATTGTCAAATGAATTATCTTCTGATTGATTGTCGAAGGAAATCGGTTGTAAGAGATAAGAGATCTGAATCTCAACGGTGGTATTGATGGATACAAGTCCGATTGATAGACAGACATTAGTTGGATCTTTGTTGAAATTTTTCGAAATAAAAGTGGAATTTGGCTGTGAAATTTGTTCGGTCGATAACTGTTGTTTTTTCGAATAAATAATTCGAAAATCTTTGAATGCCAGAAAATATAGTCCAGAATAATAGCCAATATGAAATTCTGATATTTTTTCACAATCTATTCGATATCGTAACGGATTCCATCGTTTAGAATGATCATTTAATCTAAAGGAATGTTATGAATTTCGGATCTAATGTTCTAATTCTGAATGGTCACACTTACAATTTTCGCAAATTTATGCGTCCATACGGTAATGTAAGATATAATTCGAATAAATCAGCGTTATTCACCATAGGAAATCTATACGAGTGCTGAACATCTTTAACGAAAAACCAAAGCTATAAGTGAATAAAAAAAAGCAATGTTTCTTTGATTGTTGCTTATTAAACCATTTCAGCTGGAAATGATACCTTGAAACTTATAATACAGTTGGTAGAATTTATCATGGTCTTCTTAATCAGTGATTCGTTGATTTTTAAATAGATTTTTCTTAAATCGATTTGGTCAGTCGAATTATGTTGATCAATATGATCATCTTGGAAGTAGAAATTATCCGCCGCTGATGACGATGATGGTGGCCAATCGTTAGTGAGGATATCCCAACCTTGATTTTCAATTCGTTCGATCAATTCAGCGCCATTATCGTGTTCTGTTGATTCTAGCGGAAATGCTAGAATCGTTAGAATAAAAATCACTTTCAATAAAAACGTATTCATTCGTATGATCAGTTGATGTTTGTGTCCAAAATTAAAATGACATTTCAATTATCAAACGCCTCAAATTTGTTTGCCTTGTTAGCTTTGTGCCCATATTTCTGAATCCCATATGCTTAGATACCGTATGTTTGCATAAATCGTTAAATCAAAACCATTGTCTGATCCAATATATCGATAATTGCCAATGGGCGTTATCGTTTTTTTTCATTATTAGTATTTTTCAAAATAATTCTGGCCATTTAAATTGCTCAAAGACGCCATCATATTTTTATTTCCTTTCAACTATTCAATTTAGTTTTGTAATAGATAATGTTTTTTTCTTTGTTTAATATCGCTTTTGTATTGCGATACCTATATTTTACCTATAATTATGTTTGGTTAGAAAAAGAATTTTTCAATTTCAATCATTTTTCCGGGAATATTTTCAGAAATTTATATTTTGAAATAAAAATTTGGATCTAAAATTTTTATCTTACAAAATTGGTTATCTATTAGCAGAACTTCCAATGTACAAACTCTACCCTGATGAAAAAGAGGAGGCCATTTTTTTGTGTGTAAGATTTTTTATCTTTGCATTTGAAGTGTTTTTATCGCTTATAGCTCAATATTACGATAAACTTGAATCATTTTTTAAAAAGTTTTTCGACAATGAATTTTTACAGATGTACGCATGCACTTCTATATCATTTTTCCACATCGACACGTAATAAATAGCTGCGTTCATTACACATTTTTTTCATTTTTCGATTACGACGTTTCTATTTTTCCATCCACGCTGCATTTTAAATTTTCGAATTGACCAAATATTATCATCTCATTTCGATTAATACCATGAGTTCAAATCGTAATTACCGTAGCAATGGTGGTGGTGGTGGTGGCGGCGGTGGGGGTTACCGACAACATAGCTCAAAGGTCACTGTACAAATGACCCAAGAACGTGCTCATGTAAGTTTGGAAAATAAATCAATTTCGATTTCATTTTCAACATTTTCTATTTTACCGATTGATTTAGGTTAACAATGATGGCAGCCGTTGTTATCAACGAGATACTATTCAAGCAAGCGCACGCTTGCCCGTAAATCAGGCTCGCCAAATTGTATCAAATACCGGAAATAACAATGGTGGTGGTGGTGGTCGTTACATTCAAGATTCGGGTTCACGTCGTTAATAAGCCATTTCGGGCTTTTCAAACATAAATTGTTACTATCACTAATTCTAAAAAAGTGAATTTAATGAATATCTTTAAAACAAAATAAATGTGTTCTTTAAACTTTTAATAATCACATGAGTGCTTTAACTAGGTAACTTTGCGTTATCTTTTTACCTTTTCCGGTTGTCGCAACGGTTTTTTGAGGCATAGAATTGCGTTCGAAAGATATGGAATAAGGTTGTCGTTCACCAATGGTGGTTGTTGTATTATCTGCCATTGTCGTTTGTCGATTCATTGCCTTACTTCGTTCATTTGACTTATTATTTTGAGGCTGTGTTCTAGCTTGACTTTCACTTGTGGTTTTACTTGTGCCTATGCCACCACTGAGTGAACGAGATCTTGATTTTGATTTGGATTTNCGTTTTTAGCACGTAAAATCGGAACTTTTGCCAGGGAACTTTCCCAATAAATTCCCCAAAATATTCTCATATTCCGCATATTCGCGCCGCACTTTTGCCAGGAAACTTTCCACCAGATATGAAAAGAATTCCCGAAAACATTTTTATATTTCGCATATCCGCATTAAATTAGATTCATATATAATTTTTAGATACATAAAGATTTGAGATTTTTATTTAAAAAATAAATTAATTCATGAATGATTGATTTTTGTTGCTTTCCCGATTGCCGGGCGCAAATGTTAAACAAATATTAATTAATTGTAAACAGAAAAGAATGATTATAATTATTGGTTACTCAGCATATTGTGTTCTTTGCCAATATACCATTTTCTTGAAAAAGGGACTGCATCTTCTTCAGTTCAGGCTGAATCCACAAGTTTTCAACTTTTTTTAAGTCAATTTTTTTATCGAAAAACTCAGCATATAATTGATAAAGGCGAGAAAACAAACCAGGGAAAACAAATTTGATTGTCCCCAAATCTTTCAGCAGCTCTCGAGCAGATTGGAATCTGAACCTCGGTATTTGGACAAAAACCTTATTTGAAAGAGATTTCATTTATTGATGTTTAATAATAATAATTTAAAAATACAAAAAAGTACACAGAAATCGTTGTGTGTAAAAATTGTGTGTTATTGTTGTAAAAGAAGCATGATGTGTGTGTGTGTGTATGACATGAGATGATGCTAAAAATTATATGACATTATACAAAACATGACATTGTAAAAAACATCATAAAAAACATCATAAAAAACATCATAAAAAGCATGATTGAGTTGGTTGTGTTATCGCCTTTTATATGATTTTACAGCAAGTAAATTAGCGCCTTTTGACTTGAGGTCACCAGAATTAACCGAATGTATTTATATGGACGATATTCTATTTACTGCTAATGATTTGGAGGATCTTTTCGTTCGTTTTTCCAATGTCGAAAAAGCTTTGTCTAAAGGATCTATAAAGATCCATAAATTTACGGCCAAGAAAGAAGTTATCGATTATTTCAAGACGAAAAATCCTGAAATCAAAATCGAAGAAAAGGATGCAAGCAAAATTCTGGGTCTAAATTGGGACATCCTGGAAGATGTGATCGTTTATAAAATACCAAAAAAAGCCGGTTTCCTGGACGCTACGAACTGTTTCTTCTTTCTTTTCTTCTCTTTTTGATCCTTTAGGTCTTTTGGCACCTTTTCAACTGAAGTTTCGTTCTTTGATCCGAGATCTTCATCTTTCTAAGTACGATTGGGATGTATCCATCGAAATTCCTTTTATTGAACGCATCGAATCTTTAGCTAAACAAATGGAAGATTTAGTCAATATTCGTGTTCCAAGAGGTGTTTGGCGCTCAAGTTGTAAGAATTTGGTGTTACACGTTTTCGTGGCTGCAAGTCGTGAAGCTTATGGCGCTTGTGCCTATGTTTATGAAGACGATTGTGGTCATTTGTTAATGTCGAAAGTTCGTTTGGTCTCCGAAACAAAACGCACTATCCCTCAATTGGAGTTAGCAGCAGCTTTGGAAGGAAGTCGTTTAATGGCTAAAGTCTTAAGAGAATAACCACATTTGAAGATTGGCAATTTATTCTCTGATTCAATGGTTACGTTGGCGAGAATTTCTAGCAATCCGAAAAGTCTTGGCGCTTTTGAGTCGAATCGTATAAGAGAAATTCAAAGTTTTGGTAATCTTCATATTTGGAAATATATCCCGACCAAGATTAATCCAGCCGATTGCTTATCTCGTGGTTTGACTTTGGAAAAGTTAAAGATGAATAAACTTTGGTGGAATGGTCCAACTTCATTTTCGGAAGAAGTTAGTTTGGACAAAGCGGTCGTTCTTGCGAATGTTAGAAGGAATTCATCAGAAATTTCTATTGAGACAAATATTTTTGAAAGAATCTGTAATCTCAAGTTCAAGGAAGCATTATTGGTAATCGAAAGATTATTAGCTTGGATGTCTTCAAGAGTCGAAGATTCCCAGAGAATTCATTATCAACCATTGCTTCAACTACTGAAAATAGTCCAGAAGAATCTTTTCAAAAATGAATTTCAACATCTGATTCGTCAGGAGCCTTTACCTAAAGAATCTCCGCTTCATAAATGGCCTGTTTTCTTAGATGATGACGGCTTAATTCGTTTAAAAAGAAGAATCGACAATAGTGAATTATCTTTCGAAGAAAAGTTTCCGATAATTCTGTTTAATTCTCCGATTGTCAAAGACATGGTGAAAGAGTTTCATATAAAGTTTTTTCATGCAGGAATTTCTAGAACCATATTTGAGTTGAAAAGATATTTTTTCATTCCAAAAAATAAAATAAAATAAAATTCAATTCAATTCAATTCAATTCAATTCACTACAGCAATGTGAATGAAATGCAATATTGCAATGCATTTCAGCCTTATGGACTGAAATATTGCATTTGAAATATTTCATTCACATTGCTGCTAGTGTGAACCCCCTATATGAGAAATAACTTAAAAATAGTTCTATAATTCTAAAACGAAACGAACTAAATCTTGTTTCGTCACACCCCTATTAGCAATTTTTCAACCGCAAAAGCAATTTTTACTATTTTGTGCCTATTTTGTGCTTATTGCGTGCTTTTTTCTTGCTAAAGCAGAAAAAAGCACATAATTTTTCCTCAAATTTCTGCTTGGGTCCCGGGTACTGTTACTGTTCATTGTTTTTTTTTATCGCTTATAGCTTAATATTACGAAATAACACAATTTATTTATTCAATTATTAAAAAAATTTTACAAATCAAAGTCGAAAAAGAAATGAAAAAAGAAGATGACAACAAAAATAGTACAAAAAAGAAACAGAAACACAAAAAACACTACTCATCGAAAATTTCGTTGTTATCAATATCGACATCATAATCACCCCTTACATCGATTAAAATGGACTCCAACGTTTTTTTCAATACCTTATATTGGATGTAGGCTTGGCCAATTAAAGAGATACCAAGCAACGATAAATGTTTTTTAAAAAATTTTGTAACCAGGGCATCCCACGTGATCACCACTGGTACAGCTCTTATCTTCACGCCCTTATGCAATAATTTTAATTCATTACCCAAAAGATCATATTTCCGTCCTTTCGTTGTTTCTGTTCTGGGTAAAAGATCTTTATTTGTTATACCAATTTCTATTAACGTAATTTCGTTGATTTTGCTATCGTGAATCAATAGGTCCGGTTTGTTATGATCAATTTTATTTGTTGTTACAATTTCCATGTCCGATTTGATTTTTACTCGATCATTTACAACCAACTTTTGCATACGATGTGAATTCAATTTTTTACATTTATTGATACCAAATTCAATTAATTTACTATAGTGAATTAAACGGACAACTTCATCATGCCTTTTTTTGTAATCGAAATTCAACATTTTTCCACAATAAGTAGCTAAATGGTCGACTGTTTTTTTCCCCTGATTGCAATGTGGACATTTCTTATTCAGGCCAGGAAAATACATATTCCTATCCTGTAGTTTACACAGCATAGCCTCCTCCTGTGGAGTGATATTTAATTTTCTTAGCCACAAGGATGATTGGACTTTATCGATAATATTATCATCATCATCAAATAGTTTACTATGTAACTGTTTGGACCCAATAATGTTCATTCGTTTTTCTTTCTGTTTGATTTTAAGTGAATTCAAATTGACTTCATCATCACTCATTTGGTATTTATATTTAATCTTTTCTTTAATATTACCAAGTGAAGTGTTGTTCGTCTTTTCAGATTCCCATATAGTATGGAAGTAAAGATTACCGTCCAGGGATTCGGCCAAATTCAACGATACAATTTCATTTTTCTCTACAATATTTTGAAGGCCTCTTCCCAATTCTTTACGATGAAGATACAGTCTATCCATATTTGAACTTCGACGAGTTATTTGATATTTGGCCAAAATACGTCTAATTCCTTTATCAAATTCTTCTAGTTCTCCTTCCGTAAAATCGATGATGCCCAAATAATAATTAAGTGGCGCGATAGCAAATTCATTAATTGCATGAAAAAGATTTTTAGCACTTAATTTTGAATTGCAAATTGATTCCACCCTACCGAACACCTTTTCTCTTATTGCAATTTTATTGTTTTCATGAAAAAGATTATTTGAATCCTCCAGAATTCCCAAATATTTATAGCCAATATCATCATTCACCATATCACCAAAGGATTCGATATCCCCAGTGTTATTAGCTGATTTTTGTTCATTGATAGATAGACCAATAGATTCGAATATTTCATTAGTTAATTTGCATAAGGAATTTAAATCAGACTGGTTATTTGCAATTAGTTTTATATCATCAATAAAACTAAGATGATTTCTTCCTATCCCATAATCGGATGTATACACCATGTCACATTTCAAATTAAGGATTCTGCTTAATGGCTCAAGGGCTAAAATGAATAACTGAGGAGACAAGGAGTCTCCTTGTAAAATGCCATTAAGAATCGATATTGTTCCAATTTCGCAATTGCCAACTTTTAGTGTCGTCTTTTGGAGGGCTAACATACGATTAATAAATTTTTTGATATTGGTCGGCAGCTCCAATTTTTCAAGGATATCATGGATATATTTATGTTGGATTGAATCATACGCCTTTTTAACGTCAACATAAGCAGTTTTCAATTGATTATCATTATCTTGGTTCAAGCATTTATTGACAAGTATTTGTAACTTAGCCGACATTCCAGGTCGAGCACCCATTTGATTATCTGAAATAATGTCATTTAAGGTGCATATTTCTCTTAAGAAAAAATTCATCACCTTACTGATTATTTTATACGTATTTGACAAACAGGTAATTGGACGTAACTCGTCAGGCTTATTGGCTACCATAACTTTTGGAATCAAAAAGGTAACACCATTGTATAATTTATCAGGGATCGAGTCTGGATCAAGGATAGCTTCAGTGACTAAATCACACAATTTATCATGTAAACTATCTATCTTATCAATAAAAAAGTTATACACGAAATCATTACCGGGTGCTTTCCATTTGATAAAGTGTAGATTGTTAATGACTTTCATAGTCAGTTCTTTGATACGCTCACGACACATATTAGTATTATTTTGAATTGGCTCGAATGTATTTACAAGATCGGTCCAATCTTTAGACTGGTTTGGCTGACTCCACAATTCATTCCAAAAGGACAAGGTCTCGTCATGGTTCAAATTATCACCAATGATATTGTTCTGGTTTTGCAATTGTCTATAGAATTTTTTTCTATTATTTTCAAACATGTAATTCACCTTGCTGAACAACGATTTGTTTTTAATTTTGTTCAACTTTGTTTCAATATTAGTAATTTTATCTTCGAATTTACATTTCAACTCCTGTAACGCCTGACTATCATTAGAATGAATGCCATTCATTTTACACAATTTGACTAGTCGCTGATCAGGTATTTTATTCTGGTCATGATTTTCAATCAACTCCATTTTCATTTTGTTGATATCGATTTTTTTCTGCATAGACTGGAAGTAATTTCCACTAGGATTTTTCTTTTTTTGATCAATATATGAATAATATGTAGCCTGACAGGCATAAATGACATCAATATAATCACACAGAGATTTAATTTCATTCGAAATTTTATCTTTTTTGATGATGATATTTATGAAATTCAGCACTTGGTAATTGATTTTGGTAGATTGAAGACTATGATGATATGTTTTTGGATGAGCATCAGTACAATACATCTTTATTGACTTCGCCAATTCATGTTTGATATTTTCATATAAGGTGACATTTGTTACCATATTATAATCGTCCGAGATCAGACCCAATTCTGATTGATTATTACGACCATCTTTATTAGAGATCATACGATTTTTGATTTGATTGTACAGATTTTGAATATCTTTTTTGGATTTATTGGAATTGAATTTCTGATTGAACACATTTGTAACTATATCCCATCCACCTTTAGGGATTCTCGTTAATTCAGTATCGATGTTACGATAGAGATTTTTAAACCATTCATTCGGATCATCAAAATTGTCAATAATTTTGCAAATTTCAGTTAGGATTTGTTTGTTGCTCATACCGTTGAAAATTCCATTGTTTGATGAAGTGGCGCTGTCGACGTCGAAAGTTACAACTGAATGTGAACCATGCACCCGCGAATGTTCGTTATTTAAACTTTGGATACTTTGATTTCCGAGATTCGGGGATTGGCTATTTTGTTGAAAACTAACATCAACACCCTCCATAACAGATTACCACCAACAAAAAATTCCGCCTCAACGAAAAAACGAATTTTGAACCAAGAAAATGATGATGAAAAATTTTCACACACGTGCTCACAACAACGGCTATTTCGACTATGACTGTAAATAATAAATAAATAAATAAAATAAAAGCCATGAAAGTAGAAATAGAAAATTTTTTCCTCCACTTTTTTATTTTGTCGAATTGAAAATGTTCTTCACCCTTCGCATATCATATTCTATCATCATCACTGGTGATGATGACGAAATATTAAAAGCAAAATTTCATTTCATTTCGTTTTTTTTGTTATAGTAGTTATTACATAACACACACATGACATATGCCACGTTTGATTTTTGTTAAAAAAAAAGAAATTTTTTTTCAATTTTTTATGCTTGAAATGTCTGTCGAAATGTCTGTGTGTGTGTGTGTGTGTATGGAGAAATCCTACATACCATTATTATTGTATGGGGGTGGTGAAAATGGATATATCAGTCGTTTTTTTCCTGTTGAAAATAACTACTATACTATAGGGAGGAAGGCGGAAGCGTATTTCCAACCCCCTTTTTAACTTTTTTTTTTGAAAAAAATCTGCAATAACCAATCATCATCATCATCAGTAACAACGACAATCTACAGTCGTTAATTACACACACAGTATACAGATTGATAAAAAGGGTTGAACTTTTCTCATTCGATTTTTTAATTTTTCAAGGAAAAAAAATTTGTCTTGAAGCAATTTTGTCAGCGAAAAATACACAAAAATCGATATTTTTTCAGCCAAAAAAAAAAATATTGCCAAAAGCAATTTTTCAAGCATTTTAATGGAAAAAAAATTTCCCA